GGGACAGCCGAAGCACGGAAAGCCCAACGCAGCAGGGCTGCCGAGCCGCCCGCTGAGCTGCTGCTTAACAATGCCCCAAACCAGCCGCCGCTGACCGCACGGCACGGCCCTACGAAGCGCTGCCCGTTCAGCCGAGGCGCAGTTTAACCACAACGGGCTTACCTCTTCGTGGGTGCAGCACAGCCCACAGAGCCCTCCGAGCACGCCCCGGACAGCCTGCACGAGGCACAGGATGAACTCCATTGCTCCCAGCACGAGGAGGATGGAAAAGAGGGTGACGTTCCACTGCACGATGTTCTGAGGCTCCTGGCACGCCGACCACTTGTTATACTCGAACAAGTACCTGTGCACAGCAATTAACTGCGTTATCACCGGGACAGAGGGGGATGCTCACCGCGCAGAGCAGACACGATCTGGTGCAGTGGAAGTGCACCGGGATAATCGCTGGGGGGGAAGAGGAGATGCAGTGGTGTATTCCATGCAAAGTTTGCCGCTCGAGAGCGCGTGAGCCATCAACCAGGCCTCTTTGTTGTCTTCGTTTCTTTTAAAAACCCCAGTCTGAGCCAGGAAGGCAGAACCCTCCGACACTGGTTAAAGCCAGGCACAAGCTCAAGAACGTGGAAGGAGCTATGCTGTTTCTCCAACACCCACAGAGCTCTCTGGGACTCGGCCTTTGGCCTGAAGGCAGCAGTCCGAGGCAAATGGGTCACCTCCTCCTCCTGCTGCGCTGGGCACCCCAAGCCACTCTGGAAGAGCCAAGCGGAACAATGCCGGGGGGCACTGCACATTCCAGCTCCCCCACTCCCTCCGACGGGCAGCACTGACGAGCCTGCAGCAAGCGCTCGGCTCCGGCTGTACTCACTCATGGGGGGTGGGGGGAGAAACGCCCTCCCCTTGGGAGACGCAGCTGACATGGAAAATTCGAGCTCCCTGCCGCAAAGGACCTTGGGGTGGCTCCTTGGTACTCGAACCGTCCCCACTCTGGCATCAGCCGCGACCTGTCCCTGGAGACGGCCAAGGGCACCGGCCACAGACACTGCCAAACCCTGTCACAACCCACCAGACCCTCTTCCACCTGCAGCCTTTGGGTGGATGAACGGGGGCTAGCACACAGCTCAGCTACAAAGGCCTCATTTGCTGTAGAACCCTAATGAGGGATCATTAAGAGCTGCTGGCCCTCCCCACCGTGCAGCGTGCGGATTCCGACGAAACTCGGCCGGTTTCAGTTGCGGAGGCTGCGCCGCTGTTACGAGGGAAGGTGTGAGTCAGCTCACGCTGGCACAACGTGACACAAGCCTCACAGCACGGCCTCTTGCACCCATGGTAAGACAAATCTCACAACGATCACTGCTCATAGCTCGTAAATCCCCCAAAGTCCTAAAACTTGCTGTTAGAGACTGTTGCAGGTGTGCACAGTAGGTGTGACATGGAAACCGCTGCAGAAAACAATACCGGATCCCAGTAACACAGGCATTCTTGTAGATCCACAGTTTGTATGTTCAGAACCCTCTTTGCAGGGCGGAAGGTGTAGACTGCTTTGGCTTTAAGCTGCAGCAGCGTGGGTAACCCCCGCCGCCTGTTCAGCCAGAGGCAAGGAATGGATGTTGGCATTTGGTCACCAGAGCCGACTGCAGAGTAGGGAGCGCGTGTGCGGGGGGGCAGGTGGGACTTCCTCAGGGACAGACAACTTACCCTCCAGAGGATTCAGTGAAAGGATAGAGCCAGCTTCTTTCTAGGTGAGTAAAACAATATGGTCCGTGAGACAAGCCCAGTGCCGAGATGATTATGCAGTACCCGGACCCAAGGATCCCCACGAAGGCTGCCAGGACTGAGGCCAGCACCTGCGCCGCAAACACAGCCATGAGCTCTCAACGCAGCCAGCACCTTGCCCTCGGCGTTCCCCAGGGCTGGAGTGGGAAGGCTCGCTTACCGCACAGCTCTTCCCGCAGTCCTCGTGGCCGAAGCACCCGCAGCAGCCGTCGTTGTGAAGCGCGATGAACACTGCGGCTGGAATGAGCACCTAGGCAGGGGGAGGCAAGCCACGCTGCTTTACCCGGCTGCATTCAGTTTGACTCCTGTTTAACACGGGAGGCATCTCGCTGCTAGCAGCAGCGCCACGACAGGAATGCAGTATGTCCGCACTTGGGTGCCTAAGGAGCCTGTCAGCGCGGAGCCTGTCAGGTCCCCAGATCATCCCTGCTCCAGACCTTCTGACATAAAATCAAGGAGCAGTGTTGATTAAACAGAGCATCTCCCTGCCAGCACTAACAGGGCGTAACAGCCGGCACCTTTAAAGCTGCCACAGCCAGGAGTGCCTCGGAAAACTACAAAGGAGCAAACGCGATCTGTAAACCACAAGGAGTGACTTACCAAGACTAAAATAAAAACTGCCCAGCTGAACAGTCACATACTTGTCAGCCCTTACTCAACCCCTTTGCTGAGCCCCAGCACTGCAGGTCCAGACGAGGTTCTACAAGTGTGTTCAGGAGCATTTCCAGCGATCCCACGTGCATTGTCCTGTGTGCAACGCCCAGTCTTTGCAAATCCCGGTCAGGGTTCCAGTGGGGCTGTGCCACAGCCGTGAGCACCTCACACAGAGCGAGGGCCTGATCATGCCTGTGACTTGCAGACACCCCGAGGTCTGTAGCCTACTTCTAAGGGGACTTTTAAAAGCAAACAAAAAAGGAAGCCTGGAGTCAGGGAATTTGGATATGCTACAACTTGGTCCAGAAAATTGAAAAGGAAGAAAACAGCAGCTTCAGATTAACAATGTCCTACAAGGAACACACTCAATCCTTCATCCTTTGCTGTTCCTGCAATGCAAAGCGATCGTTACTGCCACCCGACCCTCTGAACAAAGAGCGAAGGCAGAGAGATAACTGTCACCATCTGGGATGACGGAAATTAAGGAATTGTAACTAAATGCTAGTGATCTAGGAATGTTTAAAGGAAAAATAGTTTAATAATAAAACAAAAATGTAAGATTTCCTAGACTTACAGATTGGTTTGGGTGGGAGGGATCTTAAAGCCCCCCAGTCCCCCCCCCTGCCATGGGCAGGGACACCTTCCCTAGCCCAGGTTGCTCCAAGCCGCATCCAGCCTGGCCTTGGACACTCCCAGGGATGGGGCATCCACAGCTTCTCTGGGAACCTGTCCCATTGCTCCCACCCTCTGCGGGAGGAATTCCTTCCTGATGGCCCATCTCCCTCTCCCTCTTTCCATTTAAACCTGTTACCCCGTGTCCTGTCACTCCCTGCCCTTGCGAAAAGCCCCCCCAGCTTCCTTGTAGCCCCCCAGGCACTGGAAGGGGCTCTGAGGTCTCCCCGGAGCTTCCCTTCTCCAGGCTGCAGCCCCCAACTCCCCCAGCCTGTCCCCAGGGCAGAGGGGCTCCAGCCCTCGGAGCATCTCCGGGGCCTCCTCTGGACTCGCTCCAACATCTCCGTGTCCTTCGGATGTTGGAGGCCCCAGAGCTGGACACTTTACGCACACTGTGACCCTCCGAGGGGCTCGGTTCCAGTTTTCCATTTGGATTCTAAAACCCAGACCCTACGATTTTGTCAGCTCTAAAGTGACATGATGTTGCAGATACAATAGCCGATAGTAACTAATAATACCGAGGGGGTAATATAGCTAATTGCTTTTGATCGAGCTCCAGAGATT